CCCTCCCTGGACGCGGAATTGACTGAGGAGGAGGAGGAGGAGGGATGGAGGAGGAGGAGGATGAGGATGAGGAGGATGAGGATGAGGATGAGGATGAGGATGAGGATGAGGATGAGGATGATAATGATGATGCTGATGATGATGATGATGATGATGATGATGATGATGATGATGATGATGATGATGATGATGATGATGATGATGATGATGATGATGATGATGATGATGATGATGATGATGATGACGACGACGATGATGATGATGATGCTGATGATGATGATGATGATGATGATGCTGATGATGATGATGAGGAGGAGGAGGAGGATGACGATGATGATGATGATGATGATGATGATGATGATGATGATGATGATGATGATGAGGAGGAGGAGGAGGAGGAGGAGGAGGAGGAGGAGGAGGAGGAGGAGGAGGAGGGGGGGGATGAGGAGGAGGGGTGGGCACGCCAACTCGAGGAGATCCGAGCGCGCCGAGACAGGACTAGGCACGGCAAGGACGGGTGGAAAAGAAGAGCGAGCGCAGCTGTACGAGAGACAGGATGAAACGCAAGGGAATCACCGAAGACGAAACCAGAAAGTGGCGTCATCCGAGGCGAGGAGTGGACGGGGGTGTCCCTTCCACTCCCCAGAAAGAGGATCTTTGCCCTGCTCGAGGGCTTTCAAATAAGTAGTGTCCTTACTGGATGCAATACCCGAGCAACGGCCCCAGAGCCGCGAGCGCGGGGCCGACGGCTGGGCCCGAGCGCCACACCGCCGACAGAATGCAAGGGTAGCCCCAGCAAGGACGATGCAGTGTCCTCGAGCGCCGGCAGGCCCTACAGGGGCCTTGAGCGGGGAGGGGGCGGTCGGGGGGCGAAGCATCCCGAGCAACCCAGGAGTCGCGCTCCGCAGGCCCGCCAGCGGTCCTGGAGCGCTTGAGGGGCGGAGGCCCCCCCCACCCGACTGGGGGCAGGAGGCTCACCGGCAGAAACCTGGGGGCCCGAGTCCAAACGCGGCGCCTTCGGGCGCGGGCCCTCCAGGGCAACCCCTTCACGACTGTCCTTCTCTAGACTGGCTCCAGGGGCGGCGGATGGGGGAGGAGGGGTGGGAGGAGGGTCCGACGGCTCCGAGCGCGCCTGATCATCCATCCTCTCCTCATCCGTCTGAAATCCCACCCTCTTGAAAGCCAGCTGCCGCCCACGGACCCAATGATCCGATGGCGGCGGACCCCCAGAACCCTCCAAGACATCGTCCGCCTCGAGAGGGGGGGCCTCAACGGGGCCTGCCTTCGTCCGAGGCGAAACCCTCAAGGCCCCAGAGGGCCGCCGCCTCGGCTACTCTACACGTGCGGAGCCTGAGGGCCTTCGCACCTCTGGCGGACAAGGCGAAAGCCTGGCAGCGCTCACAAGCGAACTTTTGTCCACGCCTCCTCACCCTGTGGGGGTGCTGCACAGGCTCCTCCCTCGGCGGCGGGGGCGCCGCCTCCCGCGCAGCGGGCCCACCGCGGGCGCGGGCCGCGCCAGGGGCTGCAGGTGCGCGATGAGCAGCACCACGAGCGGCCCAGCTGCGGCGCAGCTCCGCGTTTCGACACCGAGGAGGGTCGACTCGAGCAGGTGGTACCAACCACGTGAACTGAAGCCTCGAGGCAGTGCCAATCCACGTCGCCACCTGCCTGGCCTTCAATAGGGCCAACGAATGCCTGCCCACAGCAGCCTGTGAAACGTCATGTAGCCGTCGTCCTCGCTTGGCTGCCTGATCGGCAAGATCATTGCAGCGCTTATCCCAGCAGTCGGTCTTCTGGTGGCCCTTCACGCACCTGAGCATAATTGGTGCCGTCGCGCCAGTCCAGCTCGCACCTCCATGATCTGCGCTGCGATGGTGCAGCAACTTTCAGAGGTCAACGTTCTCCCTCCGAGGGTTCGTGCATCACCGCTGGCCACGACGGAGGCCTTCGATGAGGGGGAGGTAGTCCGTGTGGATACGTATCGGGGCGATGCCGATGGTCAAGGCTTGCACGATCGCATGAAGCTCGGCTCGGCCTGAGGTCTGCCGCGGTCCAGGAAGGGCGCCAAAGACTGCGCCAGAGTAGGTGCGATCGCCCACAATCACGAAACCCCAGCCTGCACGAGACGCGGCATCCCAGTGTAGCAGCTTCTTGCAGGATCCATCAGTAAAGACGTCACCAGTCACCACCAAAGGCTCGGAGCGAGCAGTCCTGTCGTAGTGCCAGTGTCCAGAATCATCCCTTGGCGGGAGCGCGGGAAGACCATAATTGGGAAACGAGCCCCGGGAATAAATCGCCAAGGGCCGTGCCGCGCGCAAACTTCAAGACTTCAGAGTCCACGGCATGTTCGCGAAACTCACTAAGACAAGGGCAGCGCCAATGCAGATGATGCGAAGTCCCGATCTCAATGCCACGCGCGAGGCAATAAGGGGAGGTCTCGTAAGCGTGCTGATATAGCCGTTGTTGCGAGAAGTGGCATCCCAAAGCCGCGGCGCGAACAGCAACCTTAGCAACGGGATCGAGGAGCCATCTCTGTGCCTGTTGCCTGCCCTGCATGAAGGGGTCCACGAATAGGAGCTATCCAGCATCCAGCAGGGTCCTTGTGACTGGGGCCAGGGACCTCAGGCGTGACATCAGCGCGCTTAGACCATTGTAACCAGCCAGCCGCTTCCAAGTCCTGAATCGCAAGCCACCGAACAGTGTGTGGGGGGGGGTGCAACAATGCGCAAATCAAGCTTCTCACCAGACCTGGTCCGAGCAAGATACACAGAAGAACATGTCCACTCCGGGAGCAACGATGATCTCGAGAAAGCGCCGGCTGGGCCAGCAACCATGCACCGACGATCCTGCTCTTTTGCCATGGCAATCCTGCGGAATTGCGACTGCCGAGCAACCTGCGTGTCTTGATGAGGAGTATCGCCAGATGCCGTCAACGTAGCCCAGTTGTGAATGGGGCCAACGGCTGAAACGCACGAAGGTTAAATGTCAGGTGACGGGGCAAGCCGCGAGGCAATCCAAGGAGAAGCGCCAACAGGTAAAGAGTCCCATCCCAACTTGACCTGTCTCACCGTGCGCTTCGCGATGTGGGGGGCACCGCGGTGGCCCTTGCAACCTTCCGATTCTTGGATCCCAATGCCGACGGCCTCTGAAAGTGACGCACTCACTTGGAGACCGCTCGCACGCGGCGGCGAAGGACACGCGACCGCGCAGAATTGCCCGCTCCGATCTCCAGCCCAAGAACCTCAAGCCAGGACCCAGAACGGAATCCGAATCTCTGGAGCCCCCGAGCGACACGGGTGGCGGCGTGGTCGTGAGACACCGTGAGCATGGCCTTGAATTTGGCAACGGGGAGGCCCACATGCTGCAATGAGTCGCAAAGTAGGGCGACAATGTCCACTGCCTGTCCAACAATAGACTGAAGAGGGGCTAGAACCTGCACCGTGAGATCGTCAGCGAAACCGTCCAGGGTGTGCGAGGTGCCAGCAACTGCCTGGGCCATAACGTTGGCTTGCAGCAAGTACTCGCCCAGCGCCGTAATCACGGTGAGCCGGGCCAAAGCCATGGCGAACCTGTAGCCTGGAAGCGCGCCCTGCTCAACTGCAGCAGAGTGGGGGGGGGGTGGCCTGCAGCCGCGTCAGCCGCCTGGGCGCCCTGTGCATTGCAAGGGCACGCGCTAGCAGCTGCCGGGGGAAATTGTGGCGCCTGACAGCCTCCACCAGAGAGGCCCATTGGATACGGTCGAAACACATCTCAATGTCCACGATTGCAGTGATGACGCCGAGGTCGCTCGCTAGGCCCGTCTCGGAGCGCTGGGGAGCACGAGGCGCCGCGTCGATGGTGGTCTTGCCCGCTGCCAGGGCGAAGTAAGGCCGATCGTTTGCCGGGGGCCAGTCCCGTAGCTGCTGGCCCCGACGCTGAGTCCAGATGCGGTAGGCCGCCGTCGCGAGCGCGATGGGGCGCCACCCGCTTCCGGGCTTCGCCAACAGCGCGATGTGAACGACCATCATCTGAGTGGGCCACCGCTCCCAATGCTCAGCCAACCACATGATGTGGATGAGCAGGGGGAGCGAGGCGTCGCGCAGCAAAGAGACCGAGCGAGGAGCGAGCTTGTGGGCACCCTGTCCAGTGCCCCGGCGAAAGTTCTTCGCCGCATGACGTGGGTCCGCAATCCGCGGCACAGGCATTGCGGCCTCGGGCAGCCTCTCTGGATGTCGGCGTAGATGGAGGCGGTGTCCTTGAAGTCAGCCAGATGCCGAGTCTCGTAGTGGTCCACGCCGCGACAGAGGCCTTTTACTTGCTCGAGAGTGGGACAGCTCGACACGGGGGATGCCTTCCAAATGCTGGCCCAACCGTCCACCTGATCATCCGCAACATGCTGAGCCGCCGTCGTGTCGACATTGTTCCTTCTCACCTGGGGGTGGGGACTGCCGAGAGGCTTCGTTGAAGGGAAGGCGGCTTGATGCGACCCGCCTCGCAGTCAGATGCCCAATCTGCGAGCGCCTTGCGCCGTTGCCGCACTGCAAGGACCTCCCGGCCCTCGGCGAAGTCCGCGAGCTAGGAAGAAATGGCATGAACCACATCACAAGCAACTTGCCGTAAATCAGCGAGGTCACCGCAGGACAGGTATCCATGTAATAAACCTCGGGTGCAGCCAAGATATATGGGGCCCTCGCCGCGCCGACCTCTCACGGGCGGTGGCGCCTCTCTACCACTTTCGCCCCGCTCTGGGGGGGAAGTCCGCCCGGGCGCGGTCGGCAATCTCGGGCGCCAATCAGCGCCCTCGGATATCGACGCAGCTGGCAGCGGCGCGAGGGTTTACTGCGGCCCTGTGCCGACGTCGCCAGCCTCCCTCTTGCTGGAGGGGATGTGAAAAGGTCCCCCATCGCTAGTACGTAGGAGTAGTTGTTGCTCATGCCAAAGTGTGAAAGCATCGTCATCGGCCTCAAGGAGACCACGTAAAGTAGGGGGCAGTGACCTGAGCAGGTGGACCACGCGACGGCAGTCAGCATCTGCATAGGCTCGTTCAGCTCCCTGCGAAGCAAGACGCTCGAGTCGTCGAAGCACGTCAGGTCCGACCTGAGCAGCACGCAGACAGTCAGCGAAAGCTTGGGCCAGCCGGCGAGCTCGACGCGCATCAGGAGGTGCCGCGGGGTGCGGGCCAGCTCGGGGACCTCCTGCCTGGCGCCGGCGGTGCTCAGCTCCAGGCCGTAGGTGTAGATCAGCTCGTGCTCCGCCGACTCCATGAAGGCGGTCTATAGACCATCCAACCGAATCTGAGCTGCCGCTGGGGTGGCGTCTCCTCCCAGCTCCACATCAGCTTCGATGAGGCGTGCATGATCCGTGTCGTGCACCACCGCAGTGTCGTCGGGAGGGGCGTGGCGAGGGAAAGCGCGAGGCCCAGCGAGGGCCACGAACTTCACGGCCTTGGCCTTTGCCGCTAGGGGCGTCATCATGGGGTAGCGCGGTGCAGCGGGCCAGCCAGGGACAGGCCGCGGGGCCGAGAACGAGCCCGCCAGCGAGAGGCTGACCAGCCAGCAGTCAATATTAGAGTAGTTTCCCTGGGCACTGCGACGCATTCCTGCTCCAGGATCGCAAGCGCGCGAACGAGCAACCGATTGAGCAGGAAAATAGCTCAGGAAACCGATGCCGTCCATGTCCGAAGGGTCGCAGTTGAAGTCAGCCGCCAGGGCAAAGGGGCGATTCCACCCGCGAAGCGCCAGCGCGATGTCGTAGAGCCTGCTGGTGTTCGTGGTCGCCCAGAGCCCGACCTCGAAGTAGGCAGCGACGAGAATCAAGCCACCTTTAATCCCGAAGTCCGCATGGCAAGCCACGCAGAGGTTCGGTATCAAGTCGAACGCGCCTGTGACACCACTCCCAGGAAGTGCAGTGACGCTGATGTGCCGCCTGATGAAGAGTCCGACCCCAGCGGACGGCCGCCCAGACTCCAGACGGCGGCACGGAGAGATAATGGCATGCCAGCCAGCTCTAGCTGCCCATCCCTGTGCTCGAGGCACGTCATCCCCATCGACGCGAAGCTCCTGAGCAGCGACAGCCAAGATACCAGTATCACATGCAGTCAAACAGTCACGGCAGGATCCCCACGATAAGCCGTTGTAAGTAACCAAAACTGTGTCTCGACGAGCGGCTCCACGCCTGCCCCGTCTACGAGGGGGCTTCCATCCCGACGTCTTCCCAGGGGCGGACCGGATGGAGGAGTAGGAGTAGGAGGAGGAGTAGGAGTAGGAGTAGGAGGAGGAGGAGGAGGGATAGCACGACCACTATAAGAAGAAACCTACTACTATTACCCATAATGCGAGTAACAGTAATAGTAGTAATGCTAGTACCAAGAAACTACTACTACCAGCACCTGTGATACTACGACTACTACTACTACGACTACTACTACTACTACTGCTACTGCTACTGCTACTGCTACTGCTACTGCTACTGCTACTGCTACTGCTACTGCTACTGCTACTGCTACTGCTACTGCTACTGCTACTGCTACTGCTACTGCTAGTGCTACTGCTACTGCTACTGCTACTACTACTACTACTGCTGCTACTACTACTACTACTACTTGCATTGCTATACATCGTAACGCGCATAAGTCATACCAGTGCGAATCAGGCTAATACTAGTGATAGTAATATCGTGTTAACAACAATAATAATTTCACGAGCGATGCACCCTGGTAAGCATAGTATTACTAATAGTTGGAGTAGGATTCGTAATATTAATCTGCACACCATGAGTAATAACGAACTAATCATAAACACAACGAACGTACGACACATAAGAAGAAGCACAAGGAAGAGGAGGAGGAGGAGGAACAGGAGGAGGAGCGACAGCTAAATGAGGGGGAGGACTGCTCAACCCGCCCCAATCGTTGCGACCCTTCCCTCGGACCACAGGGCATGACCCACCGCGGCGCAAATCCAGAGGGCGAGGGGTATGAGGCCGAGCGCGAGGGAAGGGGGGACAGGGGGGACTAATGTGGAGGAGGAGGTGGATGACCAGTGTAAATTCTTGACGCTTCGCGTATCCCCGCCGTTCCGTAGCCCTCTGGCTCAAGGCCGTCTCTGGGCCCCGGTCCCTCGGCCGGGTCTCCCAGCTCAAGGGGTTTCCCTTAGGAGTCTTTTGCCGCGCGTCTCCCCCGGGGCTGGGCCGCCATAGCAGACTCCCTGGATTCCTCGACTTCGGCCTCGTGAGCGGCCCTCCGCGAAGCATGGGCGGGCGATCGATCGGCGATGATCCTGTCATCCCTGTGGGGACGAGGGCTGCGTCACCCGTCGTCGACCCTGGGGCCAGTGGTCTGGCTGACTCAGGACATCCTCGCCCTAGATCTCAGGACTCCATCCCGCCAGGGCAGCCGTCGCCTCCTGCTCCCTGGAGTGGGAACGCTTCTGCCGATGCTCCATGCGCACGAGGGCCGTTGGCCCCCAGCCAAACCGAAGGAGGGGTTGAGTCTCTCAACCCTGTGATGCACACCGATATTGCGACCTTCCGTCGCTTCCCTGGATTCGAGAGCGGCAGGCGCGAAGCGGTAGAAGGGGTTGATGCGGTCAGCCCCCCGATGCACACTGAGACTGCGACCTTCCGTCGCTTCCCTGGATCTGATACTGGCAGGCATGATGCCCTCCCGCCTAGCTCATCCCCTTCTCTCACCCCTACCCTTCCCATGCCCACTGCTGGGCGCCCAATCTCTTTCTCTCCAGGCGGTGCTGGGCAGAGTGGGATCGCCCACGGCGATGCCAGGTTTACGGGGGCCAACGGCCCCATTCCCGAAACAGCTAATCCCCCCACGGATCCTGGTCCTCTTAGGCAGTCTGACGAGGAGCAGAGAGGCGCCCTCGGCTTCCGACACAGGGACCTCTGCGGCGTGGAGGGGGAGACTAGGGACCCGACACCCCCAGCAGGCGCTCGCGAGGGCGTCGGGGGGGGAGACGGGCAGTCGCCTGCCCTTGGCCCCGACGCGCATCATAGAGGCTTGCGCCCTCACTCCGCCGAGCCCCCCCCTTCTGGACGCGGCCGCGCCGAGTGAAGCTGCCTTCCGCTGCGGTTTGAGCACAGCATAGAAGACGGGCCCTCAGGTATTGGCGCGCATGTCGACGCTGATGCCGCGCTAGGTCGCCCCCAGGGGCCTGAGAGCGGCAGGCGCGAGGGGGCGACGCGCCCATCCCCGCGATTCGCGCAGATCTTGCGACCTTCCGTCGCTTCCTTGGACCGGATGACGGCGGGCAGAGGGATGCCCACGGTGTTCAACCCAGGGAACGGTGCGACGGGGAAGAATGCACCAGGGAGCCAACCCCCATAAGGGGGTGGTCGCGAGGACGTCGACAGAATGCACACTGACGCTGCGACCTTCCGTCGCTTCCCTGGACGTGATGATCGCTGGCAGGAGGCCCTCCCGCCTAACTGAACCTCCTCACTCACCCCTACCGCTCCCATGCCCACTGCTGGGCGCCCAATCTCCCTCTCTCCAGGCGGTGCTGGGCAGAGTGGAGCGGCCCTCGGCGACGCCGGGGCCACGGGGGGCGAGGGCCTCACTCCTGCACAAGCGAACCCCCTCACGGATCCAGGTCCGCGTAGACAGACTGACGAGGGGCAGATGAATGCCCTCGGCGTTCGACCCAGGGGCCAAGGCGACTCGGAATGGGAACCCAGGGAACTGACGCCCTCATGGGGGCGCTCGCGAGGGCGTCGGCAGCAGAAACGGGCAGGCGCCTGCCCGCAGTCCTGACCCGCTTCACGGAGGCCCACGCCTACCCTCCGCCGAGCCCCCCCTCCTGGACGCGCCCGCGCCGAGTGAGGCAGTCCTCCCTGGCGAGCTAAACGCTGAAGTCGGGCCTTCCGCCCGCGAAGCGCATTCCGACGCCGACGCAGCGTTCGGCCGCTTCCATGGGCCCGAGAGCGGTAGGCATAACGCTGGAGGAGGGGGTGATTCAATAATCCCTGCGAGACGCACAGATCTTGCGACCTTCAGTCGCTTCCCTGGATCGGATGACGGCGGGCAGAGGGGGGCCCAAGGCGTTCGACCCAGTGACCGTTTGGAGGCGGGAGTGAGGACCATGGACCTTGCCCCCGCGGGGGTTGGTCGGGGGGGCGTCGGCAGGGTGCACCCTGACGGTGCGACCTTCAGTCGATTCACTGGAGGTGAGAACGGCAGGCACGACACTGGAGGAGGGGGTGATGCTCTCATCCCTGCGAGACACACAGATCTTGCGACCTTCCGTCGCTTCCCTGGATCGAATGACGGCATGCAGAGGGGGGCGCGCGGCGTTCGACCCAGGGACCGCTGGCAGGTGGAAGAGGATCTTGGACCCGGCCCCCGCAGAGGTGGGGCGGGAGTGCGTCGACAGTATGCACACTGACAGTGCGACTTTCCGTCGCTTCCCTGGAACAGGCGACGAGGCTGGCCTCCCGCCAGAAGGAAGAGAACGAGAGTCGGGGGACCCCGATTCCAGTGATCGCAGGGAGACGCCCCCCTCCACGGAGATGATCGATCGCAATCTTCCCTCTTTGGGATTGGCGACTGGATGGCCCGTGGGGCCTCCTTGTTCGCCCAGTGCCACCAGGATCGCTCCCGATCCCGTGGTCGGGGCCGCTCCTCTGGTTGATCGGATCGATCGCGCTAGGTCTCCGATCCCGGCGGCTGGATCGCCCCGTGCCTTCCCTCCCTCGTCCACCAGCTCTTCTTCCGACTTCTCCCTTCCTGACCCGCCTCCCGGGCTCGAGTTTCCTAACGCCGCGTCTGGCGGGCGCCGCCGTGGACTTGAGTACTCGTCACAAGACAGAGAACGGGGGCCCATTCTTTGGACGGACAGCGGCTCGCCTTTCGTGGTGAGCCACACTGCGCACGGGGGCGCCGTCCTAGCTGACCCCCCCTCCTACCCATCCCCAGACCTTGCCCTGGAGGAGGAGTTGCGGATGGAAAACCCGCCACCCCCCTCAGACTATGACGACCCCAGCCAAGCGCCGAGGAGCAGAGGGCAAAGCGCCGTTGACCTCCACGCTCGGTGGTTGGACGCTGGGCACACGGACGCTCACTGGGCGGCCAGCCGGGAGGCGGACGGACCCATGTGTGGCCCACGCGTGGCGGACGCCAGGATCACCGGCAGGGGGGGCACCATGAGGGCCCTACGTCGGCACCTAGTGCGCATTGACGGTCCTTGGCGCGAGGTCCCCGATTTTGGAGCGCCGAGAACACCTCGTGAGACCAGCAACCTGGAGCTCCTCATACACCACGCGTGGAGGGGGCACCGCCCAGGCCACCCAGGCATACGAGCCGACAGCCCCATGCGTGTGGCTCCAGTAGAAGCCGCCCTCCCTGGACGTTGCTCGGAGCTAGCTACTTCAGCCCCGATCCTCGCTATCCTGGACCACTCCTGGCTAGTCTGGTCCATCACTGGAGGAGACTATGAAGGGCGTCTGGGAGGCGTTCAACCGGACCCAATACAGGTCCTTGCCTTCCGCTTTGCGAGCATCACTTATGACCCAGCATAAGAAGGGAGAGACTGGACGCCGCCGACCCCTCAGTGACGGAGAGGCAGCTGGCACGCCTCGAGTACGTTGCCATGGTCGCCGCCGCGCATTACTGCGACATAGGCATGGAGCCCCCGAACGGTTTTGACACAGATAGGATGCTCATGCCTACCAGATCCCCTGAAGACGCTGCCCCCCTGCACAGCAGTGGCCCCAATCGAGCAGACGGGACGCAGGACCCCATGGATGATGAGGTCATGGACTATGCGCACAGAGTCCTAATACACGAGCGCAGACAAAACATAGTCCACTTTCCGGACCATGGGGACGTCAGTCAGTGGGCCATCACGAGAGGGAACCTCGAACGGGTGGGGA